CCACATGGTGGATACAACCCGCTGGAGGAACCGCTGCCTCTGCGTGGTCGTCCTCTCCCAGCAAGCCCCCGACTGCAAACCCTGCTCGCCCCAGATGCTTCACGTACACATTCAAGTAGCCGATGCCACTTTGCGTGCGTCCTTCAACGACCTTCAGCTCAACCTTCCCAAAAGCAACCCAATCTGGAGTCTCGACTGCACGTTTCGACACGACGTGACGGTACCCTCCAGCTTGCTTCGCCTCTGCCCACGACCCCGTAACATTAACATCGACGAAATAGAGGTCCGCGCAGGAGCTACCCATTCGGCGTGCATCGGCCTGCACGCAGAGTAATGCCTCGTCAGCGCGAACCCCTTGGGGATGTTAATGAGAACGTGCTTGCCTGGCCTCATCAGATCGAACCGCTCACCGTGGACATTCTGCAGGTGGGGGTCGCCAGTAGCAGCCACACCGCCAGCTCCGCCCGCCGTGGGAGCCCCCGGAGGAAACGTCGGCTGCGGCGTCGGCCAGCCCGGAGGAAACGTCGGGCTGGGCGTCGGGCTGGCCGTCGGGAAAAGCGTCGGGAAGGCCGTCGGGAAGGCCGTCGGGAAAGGCGTCGGGAAGGGCGTCGGGAAGGGCGTCGGGAACGCCGTCGGGGAGGCCGTCGGGAAGGCCGTCGGGAAAGGCGTCGGGAAGGGAGTCGGGTAGGCCGTCGGGAACGCCGTCGGGGAGGGCGTCGGGTAGGGGGTCGGGAAGGCAGTCGGGGAGGGCGTCGGGTAGGGGGTCGGGAAGGCCGTCGGGAAGGCCGTCGGGAAGGGCGTCGGGTAGGGCGTCGGGGAGGGCGTCGGGAAGGGGGTCGGGAAGGCCGTCGGGTAGGGCGTCGGGAAGGCCGTCGGGTAGGGCGTCGGGTAGGGCGTCGGGTAGGGCGTCGGGTAGGGCGTCGGGTAGGGCGTGGGATTGGGCGTTGGGCGAGGTGTGGGGTACGATGTTGGCGAAGGGGTCGGGGCAAGAGGCAATCTGTCCGCAACCATGCCCTCTGGCACGCTGAGGCGCAGGAGAATATGCAAAGCGCTGCATGGTGGGATTCCCGTCGTCTCCTGAAGGGACCCCCCCCCCTCCAGCACCCAGTCGCGCGCACCTGCCCCCCCCCCCGCCCCCCACCATCTCGAGTCCCCCAGGCGCCCCGACGCCTGCCCAGCGCTGGCTCTCCAAGGTGCCCACGGCGCCCAAGATGGTTTCCAAGACGTCCCAGGCATGCCACCAAGGCCGCCAAGATGGCCCAAGATGCCTCCAAGACGGCCCAAGACGGCTCACGAGGCCCCCAAGACGGCCTGAGGAGACTCCAAGAGGACCTCCAGCAGGGCCTGAAGAGCGCAAAAACGCATCTTACTGCAAAATGCGTGAAGGTTAGCGCTCATAGCGCTTCAACACGGCCAAAAAAAGGCTCCAAGATGGCCCCGAAGCGGCCGACACGAGCGCGTCACTTGCTACTGCTCTTCCAGAGACCCAGAAGACGTGAAACGTCGCACGATGCGGCCTTGTGGGCGGTGCTCCACGGGCCGCTGAGGCGCAGAGCGTGCGCGCTGGCACGGTGGCGGAATGTGCCGCAAGCAGTTGGATCCGCCGCCCCCTGCTTGCAGGGGTGCACGGCGTGCTGGACGTTTCAGGTTTTGGTTTTGGTTCTTTTTCCAAAAGAACTTCCCCAGTGGGCTCCGGCACGTCCCGCCGGGGTCCCGGGAGGAAGCCGAAAGGACCTCAATCCGGAAAAAAATCCTCCAAAAACGGCCGTTTCGCTCGGGACATCCTCAAAAAATCGCGAAGATGGCCCAAGATGGCCTCCAAGTCCGCCCGAGATGGTCCAAGACGGCCTCCAAAACGGCCCAAGAGAGTCCAAGACGGCCCAAGACGGCCCAAGAGGCCCCCCAGAGGCCTCCCAGACGGCCCAAGAGGCCTCCAAGAGGTCCTCCAGGAGAGTCCGAAGAGGCCAAAATCATTGATTTTTCCTTGGTTTTTGAAGGATTTTGGCATTTGCGCCTTTTCGGCTCTCCGACGGCTCAAGACGGCCCAAGAAGCCCCCAAGATCGCCCAAGAGGCCCCCAAGAGAGCCCCTGATGGCCCAAGTGGCCTCCAAGATGGCCCAAGAGGGCCCAAGAGGCCTCCAACACGCCCAAGATGGCCTCCAAGACGCCCAAGATGGCCTCCAAGACGGCCCTGGAGCGCCCCAAGAGGGTCCCCCGTGGCCCAGAAGGCCCCCAAAACGGCTCCCGACGGCGTCAGACGTGCCAGGAACCCACCAAGATGGCCGAAGTTGGCTCGAAGCTGGCCCAAAAGGGCCCAAGAGGCCCCCAAGAGGGCCTCCAGGAAGGCCAAAAGATGCCAAAATCACTGATTTTCCCAAGGTTTTTGATGGATTTGGGCATTTCCCTTCTTTCGGCCTTCCGACGGCCCGAGACGGCCCAAGAGCCCCCAAAGATCGCCGAAAGATCGCCCAAGAGGCCTCCAAGACGGCGACGATGACCATCAAGACGCCCACGTGTTCCCCGAAGGCTTTTCAAACCGATTCGGGGAACACATGGTCCGATGGCTTGGCAGGTCTGGCCTCAACGTTCGGCCACATAGGCGCTTCCACAAAGGCAGGGGGCGGCGGTGATTCGCCGTAGGCGTCTTCGATACAACCTCCAATAGCTGTTCGCCCCTCCCGGACTGTAATTGGTACAGCATCTGCACCCCCAACTTGGATAAGTCGGGCTGAACATGAAGCCAAGACCGCATGCTGAGTCACCAGCGGTTGCGGCGTAGCACTCGTCCGCGCTGCTCTTGTAGCCGAAATATTTCGCCTGCGAAGCGCACCCATAGCTGCCAACGAGGAGGTAATCGGCTTTCTGGTACCTCTTCCAATTTGTGTTGTAGTGGTCATTGCCCGCGCCAGGAGCACAGCATCTGCACCCCCAACCCCAGGACGGGTACGTTGGCTGCATGAAATCGGAGCCGCATGAGGGGTTGTCAAATCCGCCAGCCCCCTTGGGAGCGCAAGGCTGTGGGGTTTGCGGCTGGACTGCTACCCTGTATTCTTGCTGATGTCTAGTGACTAAGTACTGTCGCTTGTCTCTCCAATCCTGAGAACGCCTGTTCTCTACTGCACGACCCCCCAAAAAAAACCTGGGAGGTCCCTCGAATTCACGGCCGCTAGATGGTACCATCGCATTCCCACAAGAACGCCACAGAACGGCTGAGAGGGCCCAAGATGCCTCGAAGATGACCCGGGAAGACTACGAAGATGGACTCGAGAGCGCAAGACAGCCGAAGGTGGCCCCACGACGCCTCCAAAATAGCCCAGGAGGGCCCCAAGGGGCCCCCGACGGAGCAGAATACACCGAGAAACCATAACGGGTTCGTTCTTTCTTGCCAGACCCATACCATGCTCCCAAGAGATGTCTGCGCTTCAAGACGGCACCTGGAGACCCCGAAGTTGCCAATACGACCGCAAGGAGGCCCCCAGAGGCCCCAAGATGCACCCAGGATTGCCGAGAAGGCCACAAGATGGCCCCAAGATACCCTCTAGATGGGTCCCTGGGGCCTCGAGGAAGCCCCAAGATTAGGTGCAGATGGCTCAGCCTGGGTGGTCTGACGGGAAAAGGCGCAGCCCTTCAGATATCTGAGCCTCGCAAGACTCTGCGGTGGCGTGATACCCGAAATTAATCACTGTGCCGCTACAGTACCAATTGTTCAGAAAGGTCGCACCTCCGGATTCATCGCTCATCTGCCGCTCTGGCGTGACAGGCACAACCCCTGTAGTCGTCGCTTCCTCACTGGCCAGACCGCGAGCAATCGCGAACATACCACAGCAGAGAAAGACAACGCGCGGAACGTTCACTGCCATGGGCGCTGTGGAATGCGGTGATACGGTCTCAGCAAGAGAGCGTTAGTGTCCAGTTTGGTTCGATCCAAAAGCGGTTACCTCGCGGGCGCTTTGGGACGCACTTGAGCAAACGTTGCGATGGACTGAGTGAGAAGGAGCGGGAGAGGGATGGGCACGACGAGGGAAAGGACACTGCGGGCTGTTGTCTCAGAATCGCTGCCTGCTGCTCCCGGATGCTTCGAGGGCGTGCGCCAGGCCTAGCAAGGGCGCCAGACGTCCGTGGCCCCGGGGACACCCGGGGCCACGGACGCCCTGGGCAACGTCCGACCCTCTGGCAACCCTGCGACCCTCGCCTCCGAGCCGAGGGCCTCGCATCGGTGGTACATCCCATGTCCCCCAAGCTCGCGCCTCGCGCCGCGCGAATCAAGGGGAGGAGGAGGAGGAGGAGGAGGAGGAGGAGGAGGAGGAGGAGGAGGAGGAGGAGGAGGAGGAGGAGGGAGGAGGGGGGAGGAGGAAGGAGGAGGAGGAGGAGGGGGAGGAGGAGGATGAGGAGGAGGGAGCAGGATGAGGAGGAGGAGGAGGAGGAGGAGGAGGAGGAGGGGGAGGAGGAGGAGGATGAGGAGGGGGAGGGGGCGAGAGGGGGGGGAGCGGGATTCCACTCGCGGCCCGAGCTGCCCTCGAGGCACTGCAGCGGAGGCGAGACCGCAGCGAGGGCCGCTCCGCACGGGACCGGCGCTCCCAAGACAAGAGACAGCGATACGCACATCAACTTCCAGACCCTCCGACGTCCAAGACCTCCAGCGACGGGGTCCACGACCTCTCGACCCCTTCCCCGAGACCGGCTCTTCATCTCGAGTCGTTGTGCTGGCAGCCGCCAGGGCGCGCAAAACAGCCCAAGCACAGCGCGACTCCAGAGGTTTGGGTTATGTTGCTTCCATCGTACTTCAGGACCACACCCCCGAACTAATTAATTACGAGCACCCAGAAAAGTAGCGAAACAATGTCGAGCGAGTATCGCTTCCCAGGGCCCGACACGTGAAAACCCTTTCAGATTCGGTACTTAATCTCCAGAGAGAATTTCTCTCTGGAGATTAAGGCGAAAGTAGGTTGGAACATCAGAGCGGAACCCTGTCGGGGCCGCCCCGCGTGCGCGCGAGTGACCAGGTCGTCCCCCAGCAGCGCGCCGCTCATCACCTCGACGCGGCCGCGCCCAGGTGCACTTGCGGGAGGAGCACACGTACTGATAATTGAGAGAGAGAGAGAGAGAGAGAGAGAGAGAGAGAGAGAGACAGAGATAGAGATAGAGGTAGAGAGCTAAGTAACTAACAAACGGGCGAACGCTGAGTACGAGCCGCGCCCGTGTGCGGCTAGGAGAGGGAGCTCTGCGAGAGAGATGGAGAGACAGACAGAGACGAAAAGAAGATTGTTTGGATTGTCGGAAGCGGGTCCTGCATGCACCCCGAGGCTTTCCCTGAGACCCTTCTTCCATCTGGACCAACCGTTTGACACTCCCAGTGCCCGTGGAGGTCCCGGGACCCGAACAAACCCCGCCTTCTCTTCTTCATGGCGAAGAGGAGGGCAGAGACACAGACAGAGAGAGAGAGAGGTGGGGAATCCAGGTCGCTCAGCTTCCGCGCTCCGCGGCGCACGGCTGAAGGCTTCGAGTCTCGGGGCTCCCGTGCTCGAGGCGGAGGGATCCCCGAGGCTCGCAGGCCTCGGAGGCCTCGGGGGGGCTCCGAGGCTCGGAGGCTCCGGGGCTGCAGGGGCAGGAGAGGGGGGGAGGGGCGGAGACGGAGAGAGAGAGGGGGGAGGGGCAGGAGAGGCGACGGGACAGGGAGGGGGGGGGGGGGAGGGCAGGAGGGCTCGAGGGCAGGGGAGGGCACGGGCAGCGGGGAGGGGCGGGGGCAGCGGGGAGGAGCGGTGGGGAGCCCACGTTGCCCAGTGTCCGACTTCGGGGCGGCGCGCGGCGCGCGCTGCTGTCGTCGCGCGCCGGCGCGCTGCCGCGCGGCCCAGACCGCGCGGCGCAGGGTCTTGGCGCCCCCTTTGCCTGTGACCTGGGAGACGGGCGATAGATGTCTGCATTTACAGACATTTAGAGCGTGAATTACCTCCCCCGCTTTCGCTTCCAGGCAAAACCAAGCCATACCACGCGCCTCCTCGTCAAGCGGCCTGACCAGTACAGGCCGCAACTTGTCATCGTTTGGTATCTCTTGGAAGCGAGGGTGGTCAAAAGCGAGGTAGGTTTGTTTTCCCCCGAAGCATACAGACACGCACGCATGCATGTACACACATATGCAGTTGTAGATACATATTTGCTGTAACCACGCGGGCGCTTCACGCGCGTTCGGGTTCGAGCAGGCGCGAAGACAAGATGTGTGGTGAAATCCGCCGGCCCCCTTGTGGGGCCACCAGGCTGTAGGCGCGGGCTCGCAGTTTCCAGCACCAGTTGTAGCTTGTAGTTTCCAGTGTTACAGTTCTGCTTCTTGCTGGTTGCTGTAACCAATTGACTGACCGCGCGAGGGGAGGGGGAGGCCCAAATGGGACTTTTAGCACCCCCTGGGCGCGTTGTCTGAATTGCGCGGGCCATTCTAGATTCTCTGGCTCTTCTCGGGGTTCTGCACTGGGGGCTGAAAGTTGTCGCGTGGTTTCTGTTATCTTTGTGCCTGGGGGTCCGTTCTCGGTGTTTCAGTGGGCTTTGTTTACGTCTTTAATTCGTGATTTGGGGTCTGTTTTTCAGGTTGCTGGGGGCTGCTCGAAATCGGACACCCTCACGCAGATCCGCGGGGGTCAGGGTCCAAAAACACAGGGGATTTGCCACATTTCTGAAATTCGGTGCCACCCCTCACGCAGATCCGCGGGGGCAGGGTCCAAAAACACAGGGGATTTGTTACATTTCTGAAATTCGGTGCCACCCCTGACGCAGATCCGCGGGGTCAGGGTCCAAAAACACATGGGATTTGCCACATTTTTGAAACTCGGCGCCACCCCTCACGCAGATCCGCGGATCAGCGTCCAAAAACACAAGGGATTTGCCACCCTCACGCAGGATCGCGGGGTCAGGGTTCCAAAAAACACATGGATCATTTGACACATTTCTGAAATCGGTTGCCACCCCTCAGCAGATCCGCGGGAGTCAGGGTCAAAAACATCAAGGGATTTTGCCATTTCTGAATTCGGTGCCAACCCCTTCAGCGGATCGTGGGTCAGGGTCCAAAAACACAAGGGATTTGCCACATTTCTGAAATTCGGTGCCACCCCTCACGCTGATCCGCGGGGTCAGGGTCCAAAAACACATGGGATTTGCCACATTTCTGAAATTCGGTGCCACCCCTCACGCACATCCATCGCAAGGCGTGGTAACCCAAACTGCGAGTACTCCCTCGGCCCTTTAATCCCAAGGTGTGGTAACCAAGCTCGTAAACCATACACGTCTTACCAATCGCCCTGTGTGGTAACCCCTCTTGTGATCAGTTGTTTTTGCCGATTGCGAATCGGCCTCGCATGAAGTTCCGATACTGCTGCACGACAGCGCCAAAGCCTCATGACTTAGCTCTTCCATGGCCCATTCTCCGAGAGAGGGGGCCGGCGGCAGGGGGCGAAGCCCTTACGGATCATGGGGGTGGACATCGGTACAAGACAGCCGAAAGCATTTACTGAATATTCACTATGAACGGGAAGCCATGAGGACTGCGGACACACGGAGGCAACCCGAGAAGTGAAGGAGCGCCAAGAGAAGAGAGGAGGCACATGAGATGAAACAGGAGAGCAAGCCTTCGGCTGTCTCGTCGTCGGGCTGCTGATGTTTGTCGCCGTCGTCGTCCTCCTCCTCTTCCTCCTCCTCCTCCTCCACCGTGTCCCCCTTCTCCTCCTGATCCCCATACTCGTCGTCGTCGTCGTCATCATCATCATCATCAGCATCAGCATCATCACCATCACAGTGGTCATCATCACCATCAGCATCACCATCGTCAGCAGTATCATCAGCGACATCACCATCAACACCATCATCATATTTCGCCTCCTTCGGTTGACTCTTCAGCCTCATCGCCCCCATTCTTTCTCTACCTTGTTAACAAATCGCCAGCACATCTCTGTCGTTGTATTATCAGACTCGTCTCCTCCAGTCCCCTCCTCGTCCTCCTCATCGTCCCCTCTGTGTTCCCACCCTGACCACAATCACCGTCAACATCACTTCATCAATACAGCATCTCCTCCCTATGCATGGGTTGTGGACAAAGAGGCTTGCTGGCTTGCGGGGAGCATATCTGAATCAGTTCGAGGTGCCTCGGGGCCTCGTCTGATGGGCTTCTTAAGACCTCCGCGCGGCGTCGAGGGCATGGGCTCAAGGGCCAGCTTCAGCGCCCCACTGTTCTTCAAATCTGCCAAGCGCCTCAACCTAAATGGCAACAGACCTCGGGCAGAAGAAGATACAGTTACGTGTTGGCACACGGGGGCGTTTGTATATATCTTTGTATGCACACAAATGTGTATATATACATGAAGATATGATGATTATGCTGTTTCTGATGATGATGATGAGGATGATGATGCTGGCAATGACGATGACGATGATACCGATCATGCTGATGATGATGATGATGATGATGATGATGATGATGATGGTGATGATGATGATGATGATGATGATGATGATGATGATGATGATGATGAGTACGATGATGATGCTGACGATGACGGTGACGATGATGATGATGACACTGATGCTGCTGATGATGATTTTGATGCTGGTGGGGCGCTTTAGGAACACGTAATCAATGTCATGGGCGTAAGGAAACCGGTGGGCTATCAGCAGAAGGGATACAAGAAGGGCAAGAACACGACGCGCCAAGCGCGTGACGAAAGCAGCGTGTAGACGGTCACAAAATCGACATCAACCCCAGAATAAGTAAACAAATGCAGAGGTGGAGAAAGATGCACAATAATACTTAAGATATTAGGTCTTCAACATCTACGTTGGTTTGGCATCCCAAGATGGAGGGTCACAAGTGGGGTGAAGGTATAACTGATCGGTCCGTTGACACGTTGATGTGAGCCCCTATATAAGGAAAGTGAGGTGTCCCCGTGACTGATGGATGTATCCCAAGTAGAAAGATGACAGCTGGAAATTGCAAGCAGAGAACGACAGAGAGAGAGGGAGGGAGAGCGAGAGAGACAGAGAGAGAGAGAAAGAGAGGGAGCGGGAGGGAGAACGGTACCGATAGCCACCATCACTATCTATCTATCTATCTACCTATCTATTCATATATATATATAATTATACAGGAAGGTGAGAGACAAACAGAGTGCGAGCAAGAACGAGAGAGAGAGAGAGAAAAAACAACAACGACAACGACGACGATGATTCGATGACGATAGTGATGACGACGATGATGATGCCGATGACGATGACGATGACGATGACGATGACGATGACGATGATGATGATGATGATGATGATGATGATGATGATAGCAACGATGATGGTGATAATGAGGATGACGATGCGAACGATGGTGATGATGAGCATGCCGATGATAATGATGGTGATGATGAGGGTGTCGATGATGTTGCTGCTGATGATGATGACGATGACGAGCATGATGATGATGCTGCTGATGATGATAGTGACGACGACGATTATGATGATGATGATGATGATGATGATGATGATGATGATGATGATGATGATGATGCGGATGCGGATGATGATGATGATGATGATGATGATGATGATGATGATGATGATGATGTTGACAGTGGCAATGATGATGCTGATGATGAGGACGAGGATGATGATGCGGTTGATGGTGGTGATGATGACACGCTCTAGAGAAGCGGAGTTCTGAGCACTGTGAAGTGAGAAGCGTGAGCAACTGCTGGGGCCCTCGGTGGGGCCCTCGGGCTTCTCCGTGGACTTCCTCGTCCGGGTGTCCCGCAACAGGGCTCGGCGCTGGGGTTGGCGCCTGTGCTGCACCATCGGGCGCGGGGGGGCCACGCTCCCTCCGCTTGTGGGTGACGCCCGCGTTGGCCTCGTGGCGTGCTGGCCCACAAGGATGGCGCGTCGTCTCTCGTGGTGTCCGAAGCAGCGCCTCTCTCGCGGGGTCCGAAGGCGGCCCCGCCGCTGCGCGGGGCAGAAGACTGCCTCGCCGCGGCTTCTCAGCGTTGAGCATGCAGTCGCCGGTTGTTCCGACCTTCCGCCCGCTGCAAGTGGCGCCGCACACGCAGCACAACACACAACAACACAACACACACACACACACACGTGTTGGTCGTTGCGGGCTGTGCCTGGGCGCTAGCTGGTCGGAGCATACGACAACAACACGTACTCGGACCCCGCACGGTTCAGCAGCGGCCCAACACCGGCCAGAGGGGGACGACCGAGGGCGGGCAAGAAGAGGGGGGCAAGGGGGGGGGCGAGCAGAGCGGAGAGGGACGCGAGGAGCGAAACAGAACACACGCACACACACACACATTCACCGTCGTCGCCGTCGTCGTACACACACAACGCACAATACGCACAACACAAAACCAAACGCACGGGCCACAACAGGCGTCACTGCGAGGCGAAAACCGCCGGCAGGCCTGCCGCGCCCACTGGGGCGCCGCCCCCCCCGAGGGCGGCGGCGCGCGGGCGTGCCGGGGAATGGGGAGCAGGGCTTGGGGGGGAGGGAGGGGGACGAGGGAGGAGGAGGGCGAGGGAGGAGGAGGACCAGGGATGAGGAGGGAGGGGGACGAGAGAGGGCGAGGGAGGAGGGCTGAGGGAGGGAGGGCCCCAAGAGGACGAGGAGGGATGACAAGGGAGGGTGATGGGGGAGGGGAGGAGGATGAGGAAGCATGGTGAAGGAGGGGGATGAGGTGGAGGACGATGGCGAGGGGGGAGGAGGCAGGGAGGAGGACGAGGGAGGACGAGGAGGATGACCGAGGAGGAGCGAGGAGGAGGGAGGGGAGGGCCACAAGGCGGCGGCGCTAGGGAGGCGCGCCAGGATCTCCAGCACGCCGCGGTGCTTGGCCCGCGCGGCGTGCTCCGCGGGCGTCGCGCCCTCCGCGTCCAGCGCGTCCACCGCGGCGCCCGCGCCGATCAGCATCTTGGCGCACGCGGCCGCGTTCATCTGGCGGGGCGGGCCGCGCGGTCCGCGGGGGGGTGGCCCCCGCGCGGGGAGGCGAGGGGCCCGGCGGGGAGGGGTGGGGGCCGGTGGTGTGCCGAATGGGGTGCGGGTGCGCCATGCGGACCCTGCCGTTGGGGCCTTCGGCGGAGCCACCTATGGGGCCACGAAGAGTGCGGTATGCCGAATGGGTTGCGGGTGCGCAATGCGGACCCTGCCGTTGGCGCCTTCGGCGGGGCTCACTTTTAGTCCACGGAGCGTGTGAGGGGTGTTGGGGCTGCTCTTTCTTCTTCTTCTTCTCCTTCTTCTTCTTCTTCTACTACTACTACTACTACTGCTACTACTACTACTACTACTACTTCTACTTCTACTACTACTACTACTACTACTACTACTACTACAACTACTACTACTACTACTACTCTACTGCTCCTACTACTACTACTACTACTACTACTACTACTACTACTACTACTACTACGAACTACTACTACTACTACTACTACTACTACTACTACCACTACTACTACTACTACTACTACTACTACTACTACTACTACTACTACTACTACGACTACTACTACTACTACGACTACTACTACTACTACTACGACTACTACTACTACTACTCCTACTACTACTACTACTACTACTACTACTACTACTAGTACTACTACTACCACTACTACTACTACTTCTACTACTGCTACTACTACTACTACTACTACTACGACTACGACTACTACTACTAAGACTAATACTACTACTACTTCCTTTACGGCGACGACGGCTACTACGGCTACTACTTCTACACCTACGACGACGACTACTACTACTACTACTACTACTACTACTACCACTACCGCTATCACTACTACTACGACTGAAATTACTACTACTACGAGGGCTACTACTCCTACTCCTATCCTTATTCCTTATTAGAATATACTCCTACTCCCCCCTCAGGCCGGCCATTAGGGGCCGCATCCGGGGGGTCCCATCCTAACCTGTAAAAAACAATACAAAATCAACATTTTTCTTATTTTTTCCTCTCGACATGACGTCCTGTCGTCCACGGCGATAATCCATTGCAAAAAATACCACAAAGAGCACACGCGCGCGTTCATGTCAGAATCCTACCGAACACCGTGTGTTTGCAAGCATTTCAACATAACAACATCAAAAACCCAATGTTTTTTTTTCACAAAAATTCTACAAATTTCCCGCCCGGCTCTCTTGCTGAAATCATAGGAAAACCATAGGAATCTTAAGAATTCGGTCAAATCCAGCGATTTCACTTCATCGCGCGGTGCACTCGCGATGCTCTGTCATGCACCCAGGCCGCGAATCCTGTGCAAAAAATACCACAAAGAGCACACTCGCGCGTTCA